AGAGCTTGGGACGGGGCTGGGCAGTGGGTTGGGGGGAGGCAAGTTGTGGGCCTGGGCAGTTGGGGGACCGGGAGGTGGAGGGGGGTAGCGGGGCGTCGTTCTCTGTGTCGTCGAGAAACCGAAGGTCTTGATTGTTAGACAGATGGGCATAGGGGAACGTGGATTCCTCAAAGATGACATGGCGGGGTGTTATGACTTTGTTAGTTTCAAGATTTAGACAGCGAAAACCACGTTGATTTGAAGGATATCCAAGGAAAACACAACGGGCCGAGCGGGGTGCAAGTTTGTGTGGGGTGGTAGCGGTGAGGTTTGGGTAGCATAGGCAGCCAAAGACACGGAGATGAGAATAATTGGGGTTGGAACGGTAGAGAATGGTGTGGGGGATTGCATTATTTAGTGTGGTGGTGGGGTGATGTTGAAGAGGTGGGCCGCCATGTGGAGGGCTTCAACCCAGAATTCAGGGGGAGTTGGGCTGGGAAAAGAAGGGTTCGGACGGTGTTGTTGAGGGTGCGGAGGGTGCGTTCTGCTCGGCCATTTTGTTGGCTTGCATGAGGACACGAAAAACGAAATAAAATGCCTAAGGAGTTAAAAATATTTTTGAGAGGTGAGTTACGGTATTCAGTTCCATTGTCACACTGTACAGTTTTAATGGTAGTATTAAAATGATTTTTCACATAAGCTACAAATGAATTTAAATGAGTAGTGGCATCACTTTTGTGTCTTAACGGAAAAACCCATAAGTAATGAGAAAAATCATCCAATAGTATCATATAAAATTTAAAACCAGTAACACTTGGAACAGGAGATTGCCATAAATCTGTATGTAATAACTGAAAGGGAAAATAAGAGACACAACTAGAACTAAAAAATGGGAGGCGAACATGCTTTCCCAGTTGACATGAATGACACAAAGTTTGTGAAGTATTTGAAAAATAAAGAAGAAGGTGCGAGACGCCATGAAGAACTGCAGGGCTGGGATGGCCTAGACGCCGGTGCCAAGTTTGTGGATCGACAGCGGCGACGTTGGCTTGGGCAGGTGCGGGGTGGCCGACAGGGTAGAGGGGGCCTGCAGTATTGGACCGATGCATCACGGTTCCCGTCCGACGATCCTTCACAGAAAAACCATGAGCATCAAATTCAACAGAGCAGTTATTTTCACGAGTAAATTGACATACAGAAATAAGATTGTGGGTGATGTCGGGGGAGACTAGGACATTATGGAGGTGAAGGGGGGGTCAGTTGGGAGGGTATGGCTACCAACAGCCGTAGTGCGTACTCGGGATCCATTACCAACAGTGATATAATGGTGAATGTAAAGTTTGAGAAGAGACATGAGAAATAGTACCTGGGTCGGATGAGATGTGATGGGAGGCACCAGTATCCATAAACCAAGTCAGCTCGCGTAGGGACATTGTTTCAAAATGATGTGCTAAGGCTGTGGGGTTGAGGGTTTGGGTGGCGGGGTAGGTTGGGGTGTGGCTGGGGTACGGCACTGCCGTGGGTTGGGGGGGTGATATGGCTGCGGGTAAGGGTTTGGGTGAGGGGAGAGGTACGGGTGGGGGGAGGGTGGGGTTGGGGAAGTAGTGTGGTAGGCGTAGGCTTGGTAGGGGTGGGGTGAGGGGGTGGGCCGTGGGCCCAACAGCCCCGGGTTGGGATTCGGGTGGGGTGAGTTCCAAGTATTATAGCCATCGGTGGGTGGTCGTTGCCTCGATCCGTTGGAGCTGCCACGTCCGCGACCTCGGCCCTGGTTTCCACTGCCCCGTCCGTGACCTCGCCCATAGCCGCTGCGCTGTCCTGAGGAGCCGTCGCTGTAGCCGCTGCCAAAGCCGCCCTGCTTCCCGCCGGTGTAGCCGCTGCCCTGCGGCATGAAGTTGCTGCCGTAACCCCCAGGGTGGGAAGAACCGCCCGATCGTGCAACGAGAGCCGTAGTGTCGTGGTTGTCCAGCGGTGAGCGTTGCCGTTCCAACAAAAGGAGAGCCGATCGGGCTTGAAGGACCGTGGGCATCGGATCTTGAAACTGGAGGAACGAAGTTTGAGCCTGAAGATCCTCCGGCAGTCCGCGTAGCATCTGAAGAACAAGTTGATTTTGCGATACCGGCGCATCGACATCGTCTAACCAATCGGCGATGTTGAAGAGATTTTGACAATAAGTAGCCATGGGGGTGTTCCCTTTGACGGTAGTACGGAATTGGTGCTCGAGTTGCATGGCACGAGCATGTTTATTGTCGTGAAAGAGATCATGAATCACCTTCCAGAGAGAGGATGCAGAGGTGGTGGAAGAGATGACAAGGTCCGAAACCTCGTCGGTGATTGTGGAGAGAATCCAGTTTTGAAGAAGAGCATCCCGTTGGAACCATTCATCGTCGTCGTCAGAGGTAGGGACGACGGATCCATAGATGTAACCATGGAGATTGAAGCGCCGAACGAGAAGAAGAAATAATCGGCTCCACTTTTTATAATTGGGTTGAGAAAAGCTTAGTTGAATGGGGACATGGAGTTTGACATTAGAGATGGTGGTGAAGGCAAGATGTGGGGATTTAGAGGTGGTGTTTGGGGACGTAACTTCGCTATCCGTCATGGTGATTTTAAGGGAGGATCCCGGTGGCACGAGGTTTCCGAGAGAGAGAGAGATCGGCGGCTGGGGGAGAGTGAGCCGAGAGGGAGGCCGGCGCAGGAAGGAGAAGAATTTTTAGGGTTAGGGTTTATGAGTCTCTGATACCATGTAGAAAGAATATTTTCATTGTGTAATTGTGGTGATTACATGTAATATATACTAGGAGTCTCAATCCTAATTATGGTAGGAGAGACACAGTAGGAAGGTGATACAGTTATGGTAACAATATAATACAATAATATTAAATATATAAATAATATATTTAACACTCAATGTACGAGATTTGACCGAAGTTATTTTAAATTCAATTTATTTGATTACGTGTAAAATTTAAAAATAAATATTTTATATTTAAAACTGCATCAAAAGTTTAAAAAAATATAAATGACATGACTATTTTATTTTATCAAATGAGTAACGAAAATAAAAAGTAGAATGTTAAAATTTTAGAATATTTATGAGCCCGTGCAAAGCACGGGATTGCTAGTGCTTGATGTTTTGGTTGCGACGGTTCGCGATGATAGAACCGACCTACTTGGTGAACACGTCGGATATTTGCCCGACACACGTTGGCGTCCCCCACCATCATGCACAACGCACCGCAGTGAAATACCAGATCGCCTACCACAACATCGCTTCGGTCCACCATGCATTCACGAGGACGAACCCGACCCAGGATTTGCGATGTAGTTTCACGGTGTTACAGGCTTTTGTCACGATGCATGTATGTCAATGCTTAAACAGGCAAATGAAAGGCGCGTGCAGGAATTGACTAAAGTAATTCAGTCATTCGTACTGGAGGAAAATTTTGTTGATCATGTAGGTGTTCCCGATGATCTTATTATTGATCCCATAGATGTTGTTCGTTCCTGTAACCGTTGTTGATGCTGTTGTTGATGTTTCTTGTGACAATCAAAGAGACCACAGTGTCCAAGCAAAATATTCAATAGATGGTGTCATTTTTTATGGATGCACATAAACATTTGGGACGTCAGAAAGTGACATTGTTGTCCTTTATAATTCTGAGGATGTTGCACGTGATTGCATAATATTCCTACTCTTGGTTGCCCGGAACTGTTTACTTGATAATGGGAATGTTTTAGGCGTGACACGTTCTTTTGGTGCTCCAAGGATTAAGGTGTTTGAGCTCGGAGGATGGACGATGAACGGTGCAATTTTTTACCGTTCTTTATTTGATTTCCAACTTGAGGACAAGTTGGTTTTCGAGGCGGGAAGAGTGATACAGGATTATATTTAATTATTTACCATTATTATTATATTACTATTTTTATTATTTATGGTTAGATAATTATATTATTATTAGGAAGTATTATTACATTAGGCTATTAGTATTTTAATTTATTTAGTTACCTTTTCTGGCTAGGACTCTTTAGATCAACCATCTATTTATGTAGCCATTATGCATGAGTTTATTATTCAATCAATAAAGAGATATTTTCCTAACCCTAAACTCCATCTCTCCTCCTTGCCGATCAACGACCGTCTTTCCCTCTCCCTTCTCAGTCTCCCCCTTTTCCTCGATTCTATAACTTGAAGGTGCTTAACCTTCCCTATCCCGATACGATACCGTATCAAGTGTGTTTGCAGCAAAGGTCTGTGCAACGGCTAAACTGCAACGGAAAAGCCGTTGCAATAAGCATTAGCAATAGAGTTATTGAAAAAATGCAATGAAATGTGCCATTGCAATTACATCATATTCTTGTAGACCTATCTAAAAATTTAGTCTTTTCACAGCCTCAATGAGTAACAGTATCACCTGTAGTAGCATAAGTAGTGCATCCTTGAGTAGGATCAATAGACCCATAAAGCTAATTCTAGAGGGTGATAAATTGGTTGTAGTAAGCAACAACCCTTTGAGCCTTTTAATTTGTTCCAAAAAATTCAACTCAGACTTCAACTGATATATTTGCAAACCATTAGTACAACTGTAACATTTCTTTATATCATCCCACACATCACATGAAATGATATGAGAAAAAAATACTTGCTTGAATAGATTCATCAAAATCATTATCTCTCGGCACATCGTGTTCGATGAATCATGCTTCCCATATGATCACCCCGTCTCCC